CAGCCTACTTCCATCTGGCTTGTCAACTAGAGTGTCTGTGTAGCTGGCTTCCAGTGAGCTGTGTAGCTCAGTCACGCCCCCCCCCCCAATGAGGTCATCAAGCTGTGACCTGATTGGCAGGCTAGACTCCACCCCTTCTCCAAGTTGACAGTTTATGTAACTACCACAGCTACCAAGTGCTCTGGAAAGAAAGGGTCACATTAGAAGTTCCCCGATCAAGGGGGAGAAAAATCTGAGACAGAACCCAGGCTTACTGGTTGGACAGAGACTGCCCTTCAGGTCTGGAAGTGAACATCCTGTGCCAGCCTCATCCAAGATGGAAGACCCAAGGGGCAGCACTTCCCCAAAGACAAGTTTCAGAGGACTGGGTTGGGCTGGTGTCTTAATGTACAATTAAGGGGAGGAGAAAGAACAGGAGTCACAGGGAAGAAGTGGGAGGGTACGTGGGGTGGGGGGTGGGGGTGTCGCAACGATGAGTTGATACAAAATGTGTATGAATGGTTGAATGTAAACCTTCACCTAATTCACAAGAGAAAGTTTGATGAAATAACAGCACCCACATCATCCGTTTGTACTTTGCACCAAACCAGCTGTGCTACAATTTAAGGATGGAAAGACTTCTCAAGATATTCACACGTGCAACAAAAGGGACTTCTACAAAGCCCCCTGCTCAGTGTCACTCTGCTTCCTCAGGTGTCCCCTGGTGGTCAGTTCACAGATCCCCAGGACACCAGGCAGGGTGGGTGAAAGCAGGTAAGGAGGAAAGGCCAGGTGCCCTGTGACAGACAGACTCTGGGGAGGTGGCTCTCAAACCCGGTAGAGCTTTAATTCTCAAACTGAGCTGTGGACCAGCAGCAGCAGCAGCAGCAGTATCACCACGTGGAGGATGCATGCAGAACTTGGACTCCGCCCCAGCATACGAGGTAGGAATCTGATTGGATTCCAGGTGATCTATATGCAAATAAAAGCCTCCTGGAAAGCCACCAGGATCCAGTCTTTCAAACTGGTAGGAGGTAAGACCATACACACACTCACACACACAGACTACACTCTCTCCAAAGCTGACTATGATGGGTGCAGGGTGGAAAGTAATTATGTACCATTAGGTGAGTTGGAGCAGGGAGAGATGTTTCCAGGGAGAAGTTCAGAGAAGCCCCTAGTGGGGCTTGAAGCCTGGGTAGGTTTGGGTAATATAGGTAGGTAGGGAGGTCCAGGAGAGACCCTGGAGCGGGCCAGGGGATGCTGGGAGCAGAGTCAAGCAGAGCTGTAGAGAGAAGATGAGAGAGAGAGAGAGAGAGAGAGAGGAGAGGAGAGGAGAGAGAGATTGATTCTGAAGGCATGTGCTCTTGACCACTGTGGAGTGCACCTGCTGAGGGGAGGTGGTTTGAGCAGGGTCAGAGAATGCAGCCAGCCTGGGGAGGCAGGATCAAACAGGAGTCCAGCAGAGCGAGGGGAGGCTAGGATAGGGAGATGAAGCTCAGACCAGGGGAGGAGGCCAGAGGAAGGGGTCCAGGGTGGGTGAGATGCCCTCAAGGCCTTCCGTGAGAGCGGAGGAGAGGGCTGGGAAAGCCAGCTCACCAGAAAGACCAGACTCTCAGGTCTACCCCTTCTCCCATCTTTGAAGTGCGACGTCATCTTGACACTTAAGGACGTGACCTCGTTTTTGAATCCCGGCAGCTTAGAACCGACTGAGGTGGCACAGGAAGCGAGGAGGTGGACGGAGCCCCTTGCGTGTGCCCAAGTGCACTGGGGTCGGGCCAACGGCTGGGGGAGGGGGCAGCAGGAGCTCCCCGGATGCCTTCCCTATGAAAACGCTCCGTACGTGCGCCGCGGCATTGGTGCTAATGTGGTCCGTGCACCGAGCCGCAGCGGCAGCGCCCGCCGAGCACATGCACCCTGGGCGCCAGGTTCGCGGCGGCACAGCCTAGGAGGAAACCCCTTTGGGATGGGAGGGCCATGTGGCCGAGGGCGATTCTCCAAAGCGAACAGTCTGCCGCCCGCAGTGCCTGTCGCCACCGGTTCGCAATTCTTCTGATCACGGATGTGGCCGGATAGGAAAAGGCTGAGGTAAGCCGGGGACCCTGGAGACCCGGCCGCCCACCCAGGGCCACTGCCCAAGCGGCCGAGGCCACCGGGCTCGCAGGCCGCGCCCCTGGAGCGCAGAGCCCCCGTCCGCGGGTCTATGGGGTGCAGCCCTGGGCCTCCGGGGGCCGCCCACGCGGGGTCCTGGGGTGCGCGGCAGGGGCGCGCGCACGTGGCGGGGGCGCGCGGGCCGGAGGCGCGGCGGGGAGGCGGAGGGAGCCAGCGGAGCCGCTTACCTGCCTCCTGCAGCCCGCGCTCTCCGGAGCGGCCGCGCCCCTCGCCCGCAGGCTGGAGGAGAAGCCAAGCTGGAAGCCCCCCTCCCACCCCCGGAGCCCCCTCCGCCTGGCGCGCCAAGGTGACCCCCACGAGACTCTGGCCCCGCCTGTCCCCACGCTCCAGACACCAGTCCGTCTGTCTGTCTGTCTTCCTGTCTCCACCACTTGGTTGCACACACCTGGCCACTCTGATTTGGGGGCACGGTATAGTGTGTCCCCAGGAGTCCAGGCCGGGCGACCCCCTTTGTTCTCCTTGGGCGGGGAGGGGGGGGGCGAGTGTGTGCACGCGCGTGCAAGCTTTTGGGGGGGTCGATGGTCAGTGCAAAGGGTGGGGGGCATTAAATATCCCTCAGAGCGTGACGGGTGGTGGCCCCGTGGCCACCTCCGCAGCCGCCCAGATGTCCCCTAGCCACGTCCTCTCGCTCCTAGGCGCACTTGCTCCGCGCCCCAGCTGCGCGCGCCAGCCGGGCCCACCCGCGGGGACTCTTTGCTTTCATCCGCTCCTTGCGGCGCGAACCTGTGGGCATCCAGTGGGACACCCCTTCGTAGGCTCTGCCCGGGGTGGGGTGCAGAGTGCCCTCGCCGCTGAGCAGTGAGCAGTCTGTCTTTCCCTCAAAGGCGCCGCGGGCTAAGATGACCGAGGAGGTACAAGTCAACGCCAGCGGGCTCCCTCGGGACCACTTGGAGGCCGGCTCGGCAGAGAACGCATCGGCCGGCGTGTCCTTGCAGACTCCGGTGGTGGAGCCGGCGCCCGAGCTGGCCGTGAACCCCTGGGACATTGTTCTGTGCACCTCGGGGACCCTCATCTCCTGTGAGAACGCCGTGGTGGTCCTCATCATCATCCACAACCCCGGGCTGCGCGCCCCCATGTTCCTCCTCATAGGCAGCCTGGCCCTGGCCGACCTCCTGGCGGGCCTCGGCCTTGTGGTCAACTTCGTGTTCGCCTACCTGCTGCAGTCCGAGGCCACCAAGCTGGTCACGGTGGGCCTCATCGTCGCCTCCTTCTCGGCCTCCATCTGCAGCTTGCTGGCCATCACGGTGGACCGCTACCTGTCCCTCTACTATGCCCTGACCTACAATTCCGAGAGGACAGTCACTGTCACCTATGTCATGCTGGGCCTGCTCTGGGGGACCTCCATCGGCCTGGGGATGCTGCCCATGCTGGGCTGGAACTGCCTGCAGGACGAGGCCACCTGCAGCGTGGTCAGGCCGCTGACCAAGAACCACGCGGCGGTGCTGTCGGTGTCCTTCCTCTTGACGTTCGCGTTCATGCTGCAGCTCTACGTCCAGATCTGCAAGATCGTCCTGCACCACGCCCACCAGATCGCCCTGCAGCGCCACTTCCTGGCCACGTCGCACTACGTGACCACCCGCAAAGGGGTGTCCACACTGGCCCTCATCCTGGGCACGTTCGCAGCCTGCTGGATGCCCTTCACCCTCTACTCCCTGATCGCGGACCACACCTACCCACCCACGTACACCTACGCCACCCTGCTGCCCGCCACCTACAACTCCATCATCAACCCGGTCATCTACGCCTTCCGGAATCACGACATCCAGAAGGCCCTCTGTCTGGTCTGCTGCGGCTGCGTCCCGCCCAGCCTGGTGCAGCGAGCGCGCACACCCAGCGACGTGTAGCCGCACCCGAGCCAGGCCGGCTTCGTTTAGCTGAGTACCGTGATTGACGTGAAATGGATGTAACCAGTGTTTTTACTCTTGAAGAAAAGATGACTATCTATATTAATATATATCCATTGAGTTCTTTGCTCAATATTTTTGTTTGTTTATTTGCCAGGGTGGGGTGGTGGGGGTGGGGATAGAAGGGATGGCAGGGCCAAGGTATGTTGATGAAAGGCAAGTCTTCCCAGAGTTTTTTTTCCTGGGCTTTAAATAAACTTGCTTTATTGAGGAAAATAAAGGAGACTTTATTCTTCCCCTCCACCCACCCTACAGACATCAGAGCGGGTATTCCATGCCGCCTGCCTCTAACGGGACAGGGGCCCATGTAAGCCCACCACAGACCAGTCCATGACAGTGCTGGGCGGGACGTGGTTCTGTGAATATGAACCTGAAAAACAAACTCACTGCCATGAGTCAATTCCGACGCATGGCAACCCTATGGGACTGGAGAGAACGGCCCCTGTGGGTTTCCAAGCCCGTAACTCTTTATGGGAGTAGAAAGCCTCATCTCTTCCCCAAGGAGTGGCTGGTGGTTTTGAACTGCTGCTTTGTGGTTAGAAGCCCAGCATGCAACCCCCTGCACGATCAGGGCTCCTTGTTACGGAGGAAAAGGTGTTCTAAGAAAGAAAGAACAGACATCAGTCAGTTTGTCCTAACTCGAGGGCCACCTATGTTAGCAGTACACTAGTTTCAAATGTTGGCCGTGATCACAGGCAGGCTTACAAACAAATAAAACAAATTCACTGCCACGGAGTCACTTCTGCTCATAGCAACCCTGTGGCACAGGATAGAAAGGGCCTCTGGGTTTCCAGGACTGTGACTCTTTATGGGCATAGAAAGCCTTGTCTTCCAAGGAGCGGCTGGTAGATTTTGAACTGTTGACCACATGGGTAGCAGCCCACGCATAACCATGAAGCCACCGGGGCTTAGGCTACAGTCTGATTTGTTTCTTAGGTTATAGTCTGATTTATTTCTTGGCTACAGTCTGATTTATTTCTTAGGTTATAGTCTGATTTATTTCTTAGGCTACAGTCTGATTTGTTTCTTAGGCTACAGTCTGGTTTATTTCTTAGGCTACAGTCTGATTTTTTTCAGGGAAGAAGAAGAGGTGGTGTGTGTGTATTAATAATCCCGATGGAAGGTAGAGGACATTTATTTCCCACAGTCTGGAAAACAGATTCAGGGAAGCTATCATGGAATATGCAGATCCCCTTTGGTATCTTCTTAGCCTCAGGGCTGTCGATTGGTCAGTCCTGAACTCATCACTAAGGATCAAGTATTCACAGGTGTGTGATTGACAGGTGGGGAAATTGCCTTTGGAGTCTGATGCAGCGATCCCATTTTCTGTTTCTGTCAGGGTGGGGCATCACATGCTTACGTCTGACTACATCGTCCAAGGCGGAAGTGGCCTGACTGTATGGTTGGCTTGTGGAAAAATTAGATTATAAAGCTCTTAACAATAAAAAAAAAAGAAAGAAAATGTATTTTTTTTAAAAGTTAGTGCAAGGAAATGATATTATTGCCTGCTTTTAGAAAGCAAAGTTTTCGTTGGCAAAGTTCACAGAAACTAACCTTGAGTCTCTTGTAAAAATCACCGTATCTGTGTGTCGTCTCTGCTAGTGCACACAGATGTTTTAGACATGGACTCGTTCCGCCACTTGCAATAAGAGGATAGCTGTATCAACAAGACCAAGGGCCCCTGGTGGCCCAGTGGTAAAGTGTTGGACTGCTACCCAAAAGGTCGGTGGTTCAGACCCCCCCAGGTGTTCTGAGGGAGAAAGATGAGGCTATCTACTTTTGTAGATGCTTACCACATCAGAACCCCCCAAGAATCACTTCTGTTCTGTCCTACAGGCTCACTGTGAGTTGGCATCAGCTCTACAGCCGTTGGGTTTGCTATATGATCTCACCACCAGCCCTTCAGCAGGAGGAAGCGGGAGCTTTCTACTCCCATAAAGACTTACAGCCTGGGAAACCTACAAGCGGAGTTCGACCCGGTCCTGTAGGGTCACTGTGAGTCAGAGTGGACTTGAAGACAGTTAGTTTGGTTTTGGGTTTGGTTCCTATAAGCTTGGCTTATTTTTATGGCATTATTAAGACATGCAAAGTTGATGTTATTATATATATGTGTGTGGATAATTATGTATCCACACAAACACACATGCAGGAGTGGCCTTCAAAGCGTTCATGAAAAGATAATATAGAGACACACACACATGTTCATAAACATAGCTTGGCATCACAACTCAATATAGCATGGAAAACGGGCCCCTTTCCAACAGCCCTGAGGGAACCACATCATCTTTATGTGATTGGAATTTCTAGCTCCTGAGGAGCGGGTATTATTTAGGGTCCAACAGAGGGTCCTTAAAGAAGGACAGTTCCGTGACCTTGCCAGCATCCTTATGTGAGGTCCAGTTATCCAGGTTGTGAGGAGCCCTGGTAGCTCAGTTAGTTAGGTGCTAGACTACTAACTGCAAGGTCGATGGTTCAAATCCACCAGTGACAGTGCAAGTCGTCTTCTATAAAGACAGCAGCTTTGGAAACGCTGTGGGGTCCTCCTACCCTGCCTGTAGCCACTACGCCACCAGGCCTCCTAAGGAGTATTGTAGTCCTGTCAATGCTTTTATGAAATGTGTTTGTGTGTCTGACACAGAGGGGAAACCCGGCCATTTGCTGTCAGTCACAAGCCAGTGTGTCTAACTGGACAGTGGCCACACTGACGCACTGGGCAGGATGGTTAGGCACGCAGCTGCTCACCGGGAAGCTGAGCAGATTAGACTCCTCCATGGCTCTGCAGGGGAAGGACAGGACTATCTGCCCCATAAAGACGTGCAGTCTCAGAACAGGGCCAATGAGGTTGGAATCCACTCAAGGACAGTGGTTTGGTTCCAGGGCTTCCACTGGACTGCCACCAGCAAGGTCAGTGGTTGGGTGGAACCCTCAGCTGTTCCCTGGGAGAAAGAGGAGGCTGTCTGCACCTTTAGAGATGTACAGTCTCAGACACCCACAGGGGCAGTTCTACTCCGGCCTACAGTGTCACTCTGAGTCTGGTGGTGCTCAGAATGGGGTAGTAGACAGACAGATGTTTATCTGAATATTTCTCATGGTGCTGTAGCTTGGGCATTGGACTCCTACCCGAGTCAAACGCATCAGCTGCTCCACAGGAGAAAGATGGCGGCGGAGTTGTTCGGGTCTCTGTGAGTCAGAAGCCCCGGGTGGCAGTGACTTTTGAGCACCTTACTACTAAGGATCCCTGGTGGATCTGTGGATTGGGTGTTGAGCTGCTAACCACAAGTTCAGTGGTTCCAATCCCACCACCCACTCCACAGAAGAAAGACGAGGCTGTCTCGGGAGTCCTGATAGCATCGAGAACTACATGTTTGGCTGCTAATGGCAAGGTCAGCAGTTCAAACCCACCCGTCTGCCCAAGGGCGGAAGATGAGGCTTTCTTTCTGCTTGGTGGTTTCTCAGAAACCTAGAGGGGCAGCTCTACTTTGGCTCCTAGGGTCTCCATGAGAGGGAATTGATTCGATGGCAGTGAGTGTCATTAGCAAGTCAAAAGCAGCGTGACTCAGGTTCCCCTTCATAAGGCACGGGGTTATGCAGCAAGAGAATGTCAAACCTCTCTCTGAGCAGTGGGCGGCCTTCAAACAAGTTCTCAGGAATACATTTGTCTGAGTCTCGTTATGGTGCTTTCCAAAAAAAGGTGAGATGTGGTTGGGGGTGGGGGGGGCCCGCAATCCAAACAGTGGCTTCCAAGAGGATCTGCTGGGCCCAAGGGAGTCAAGGCAGAGAGGTCGGCTCGGAGGTTTATGGTGACTGTTCTTTTGGGGGTTTTTTGGAGGGGGGGGGCATCTCAAAGGGGTCATCTTGGTAGATTTCCTCAGAGAACACAGACAGTCACCACGGGGGTTATTAGAAGAGGTTCTGAGAACATTGACCATGGCCTTGGTGAGATAAAGACCCCTTTGAGATTCTGC